TTTTTTTGAGTCAGAGTCTCACTCTCTTCCCAGGTCAGGGAATTCTTCTGCCTCAGCCTTCCAAGTAGCTGAAACTACAGGTGCGCGCTACCATTCCCAGCTTATTTTTTATTTATTGTAGAGACAAGGTCTCACCAAGTTGCCCAGGCTGATCTTGAACCCCTGGGCTTAGGCCATCCTCTCACCTCAGCCTCCCAAAGTGCTAGAGGTTACAGACTGACATTCAATTCCCCCCATACTCTCTGTCCCCCAACCTTGATTTGTAATGCATTGTGTCTGTAACACAATGTCAAAAGTTTAAAGTGCTATAAGAGAGGATCAAATAAAATATTATGGAAGTTGGGAAGAAGAAGTGTCCTCTTACGACTAGGGTCAGTAAGGCTGAGGTACAGAAGGGCAACACCGGGATGGTCTCATGGACATGACTGCTTTTGAGTTGGACCTTCAAAGATATGTTGTATTTGGGCACAAAGACATGAAATGAAGACAATTTACTCATGAGCAATGATGTAATGGCATACATGACATGGAGGAAGGAAGTTAAGGATTATATATAAGGAATGGCTGATGGTTGACTTTCATTAGAGCATAGAATGGCATTACAAAGGGTAGGAGTTAATGTTTAAAAGTCAAGTGCGGTACAAATCACGGTTGGGGGACAGAGGGTGTGGGAGGAATTGAATGTCAGGCTGCGGAGTTGGGCTTTGTTCAGGAACTAATGGGGAGCCTCAGTGGTTTTTGAACAAGTAGCTTAGTCATGCTTTAGGCAGTTTTGGCGGAAGTATGCAAGATTTAGCTGGCAGGAGGTGGGGAAACTTGGAAACAAAAAAAATCGATGTGGGTTTTATTTGAGTAGATCAAGAAAGGAAAATGAGGTTCAAAATCCAGATCTTACTTGATAAAGAAGGAAAGTAGGTTGGGCGCAGTGGCTCATGGCTGTAATCCCAGCACTTTGGGAGGCAGAGGTGAGAGGATTGCCTGAGCCCAAGGGTTCAAGACCAGCCTGGGCAATACGGCAAGACCTCATCTCTGCAATACATCAAAAAATTAGCTGGGCGTGGTATGCACACCTGTAGTTCCACTACTTGGAAGGCTGAGGTGGAAGGATTGTCTGAGCCCAGCCATTGGAGGTTGTGGTGGCCATAAGCAGCGTGCCACTGTACTCCAGCCTGGACGACAGAGTGAGATTCTAACTCAAAACAAAAAAAAAAGGAAATGAAGAAAAGCAAATCACACACAGAAATGTAGAAAGTAAACCAAATGGAAGGAAATAGATAGCTTTACTAGAATTTAATAAAATGCTAGTTAGAACTTTATTTTTTTTTTGAGACAGCTCACTGCAACCTCGAATTCCTGGGCTCGAGCAATCCTCCTGCCTCAGCCTCTCAAATAGCTAGGACTACAGGCATATGCCTGGCTAATTTTTCTGTTTTTTGTAGAGACAAGGTTTCACTTTGTTGTCCATGCTTGTCTTGAATTCCTTACCTCAAGCAATCCTCCTGCCTCAGCCTCCCAAAGTGCTGGGATCATAGACGTGGGCCACTGAGCCCAGCTTGCAAATTAGAAAATTAAGGCATGATTTTATATCTATGTAACTACCTAGAATTTTTAATATGAGAAAATATAAAGTTTGATGAGGCTTGAGGAGAACTGGACACATTATAAATTAGAGCAGTCTAAGGTGCTAGCAACAATCTGACAAAAGATAACAACATTCTTTCAACTAAGTACTAACATTATTCTTGTTTTACAGGGTGAGGACCAGACATGGTGGCTCACATCTGTAATCTCAGCATTTTGGGAGGCCAAGGCAGGAGATCACTTAAACTCAGAGTTTGAGGCCAGCCTGGGAAACATAGCGAGAGCTCGGTCACTACAAAAAAAAAAAAGAAAAAAGAAAAAAATTAGCTGGGTGTAGTGGCATGCACCTGCAGGAGGATCACCTGAACCAGGAGTTGGAGGCTGCAGTGAACCATGATAGTGCCACTGCACTTAAAAAAAAAAAAAAGCCTGGGCTCCATGGCTCAGCCTGCAATCTCAGCACTTTGGCAGGCCAAGGAGAGTGGATTACCTGAGCCTGTGGGTTCGAGACCAGCCCAGGCAACTCGGCGAGACCTTGTCTCTACAATAAATAAAAATTAGCCGGGCGCAGTAGCACGTGCCTGTAGTTCTGGCTACTTGGAAGGCTGAGACAGAAGGATCGCTGGAGCCCAGCAGGTCGACGCTGGGATGGCCATGAGTGTGCCATGGCACTCCAACTTGGGCGACAGAGTGAGACTCCAACCTCCCAAAAAAAAAAGTTTTACAGGATGAAAACTGAGGCTTAGAGAGAATAAGTAACTTGCCCAATATGAGAAGTGGTAGAGTCAGCAGTGCAGGGAATGCTGACTTGTACCGGCTAGAGAGAGTCGGTTGTTAAATTTTCAGGAATTGAGCAAACTGTTATTAAAAATTAAATTATACAAACATAATTAAATTATATTAAAGACAAAGGTAATATTCAAATTCATAACTTTGATTATTTTGCTACATTGTATCGTAAACTAAGCTCATGAAGTAATGTATGTCTGCTGCATGTACATGGTGGGCATCTTATATAATAATGTGCTATGGTGCATCTCTTCCCAACTCCTTCTTCAATGACATCCCTTTAGTAACTTGAAATCAGCCATGTTGAAAGTTTTTGCACTACAGCCAAATGCTACAAGTCAGGACTTGATTTATTATTTCATCTAGACTAAGGATCAGCAAACTATGAACTGTGGACCAAGTCCATCTCATCTTTTTATAAATAAAGTTTTATCAGAACACAGCCATGTCCATTTGCTTAGTATCACCTATAGCTGTTTTCCCACTAAAATAGTTCAGTTGAATAACTGCAACAAAGACTGCAAAGCTCAAAATATTTACTAACTTATCCTTTATAGGTAAAAATTGCCAACCCCTGGTCTTACTCATTCAGGTGAGTGAAATAAATATTCATGACAAAACTAAACTTGGAGAGCCAATTCTTAAACATTTACTAGCATACCACTGTTCAAATATAAACAAAAGCAGTGTGACTCACATAGTAACCACTATACTGTTCAGCAAAATATGACATACCATATAAGCATAAAAAAATGTACAAAGAACTGGGCGTAGTGGCTCACACCTGTAATTCCAGCGCTTTGGGAGGTAGAGGCGAGAGGATTGTCTGAGCCCACAGGTTCGAGACTAGCTTGGACAATCTGGCGAGTTAATATAATAAATAAATAAAAGTAACCGGGCATGGTGGCATGCACCTGCAGTTCCAGCTACTTAGAAGGCTAAAGCGGAAGGATCACCTAAACCCAGCAGGTCAAGCCTGCAGTGGCGGTAAGCATGCCACGGCACTCCAGCCTGAGTGACAGAGTGAGACTCTGACTCAAAAAAAAAAAAAATGTACAAAGAGTTTACTGCCAATTCATAGAAATGAGATACATAAAATAAGTGGAAAACCAAAAATACAAAATGGCAACACCCACACTGATATCTATATATGTATTACATCAGGGGTTCCCAAACCTGGGGCCAGCAAACTGGTACAGTATGTGTGGTCTGTTGGGAACCAGGCTGCACACCAGGAGGTGGAGCTCAGTCTTCTGTCAGATTAGCGGTGGCATTAGATTATCATAGGAGCCCAAACCCTATTGTGAACTGCACATACAAGGGATCCAGGTTGTGCACCTTATGAGACTCTAATGCCTGATGATCAGAGGTGGAACTGAGATGGTGATGTTAGCACTGGGGAGCGGCTGCAAATATAGATTAACATTAGCAGGGAGGTTTGACTGCACTGAATACTGCAGGCAACTGTAATACAATGGTAAGTATTTGTATATCTAAACATAGAAAAGGTACAGTAACAATGCAGAATTTTAATCTTACAGGACCACTGTCATGTATGCAGTCTGTCCTTGACCAAACTGTTATTATAAGGCACACGACTGTATTCCCTTTAGAAACTATCTAATATCCTTTCTCAGCTTCTCAGTGTATGACTTCTGACCTCTTTTATAAATACCCGGACTCTTTTCCACACCATGGAACATAGCTTCCTTCCATCTGACCTATTTTACCCAAACAACTTTCTTTGGTATTACTTCTGGGACCTGATCCTTGATGAAATTCAAAGATTTTTCTCATTTCTCCTTCCTCGACCCCTGTTCACATAACACTGTGAAATGCACTTTCGTTCTTGAGACCTTTCTTTTTTGATTTGTAAGATGCTATCCTTTTGACTTTCTTTATTACCCTTCATAATAGGTCCTTCTGTGTCTTTTCTCCAGGTTTTCCTTTCTCAGCATCCTCAAATCTGAATATTCCACAATAATTTTTTTAACTATATGGGTAAGGGCCTGAGAGGGAGGCTGAAAAATATAATGATATGGGTAAATTAATTTCTAAGCCTAAATTTTCTTTTCTTTTCTTTTTTTTTTTTTTCTTTTGAGTTGGAGTCTCACTCTGTCGCCCAGACTGGAGTGCAGTGGCCGCTTCCAGCCACCGCAGCCTCGACCTGCTGGGCTCCAGTGCTCCTTCCACCTCAGCCTTCCAAGTAGCTGGAACTACAGGCGTGCGCTACCACACCCAGTTAATTTTTTTATTTATTGTAGAGATGAGAGCCTCAATTTTCTAATTTGAATAAAGGGATTGAGTAGCTACCTGTTGTTATGAAAACAAATGTATTACATAAAGCAGTCTGTAAAATAATAAGTACATACTCAATAAATGCTAGCCAGTAGTATTACTGTTGTTATTTTTGCTTTCAGCCCAACACTGAACTCTTGTTTATGGTACAGATTTATGTAACAATTAATGGCATAAAATACATATATATGCATATGATAAGGTGGGGTGGTTTGGGTCTTATACCCACAAGTAGACCACAAACTCCCCGAGAAAGAGTCAGGTTTGACCCTCAGACTCTGCTAGCCCTTGGCCCCTTAGGTCCTGACTGAACTGGATTCCAGAACACCTACTGGTGAGTGGAAGGAGGGTCCAGCCCATCCCCGAGGCTGTGTCCTGGGGCTTCGGTCTTCCTGCTTCCCTCAGGCTTTACTTCTTCTTCCTATAAGCACAGATAGAGTTGGGGTCAGTCAGAGTCCTTCCAGAAGCAATGAGGATTGAGAACAGCCAAAAACCCTACAGGAGGTCAGGCAGCAGCCCACAAAGCTGTGTAGAAACTATACTGGTGAATTACCATGAGCTCCAGCCCTGGGTTCTCTATGCCAGTCTCCATTGTGGACAGAGCAATGGGCTCTCTTCCACTTGATTTCTCCATCTCCTGTTCTTCTCAACTGAAAAACAAATTCAGGGCCAAGGCTAAAAATTGGTCATTCTGTCATGTGGGGCTTGGGAGAATTTTTAGGATCGGTTACCCACAGAAAACACAAAACTAAAAGTCTTTGGAGGCTTAGTTGATTTATGAACTGAGAATTGAGAAGATTATATGTATAACTTTAATATAATAAATAACAAAATATAGGATAAGAGAAATGAAGAACAGGGGAAATTGAAATGAATCAGTAGGCTACCCAAAGTTAGGCTAGAACTCGGGCAGAAAAGAAACTTGTTTGGTCCCTCAAAGAAAGGGTCACAGGGTGACTACTCCTTTTAGCCTGGGAAACCCCACTGTGCTAAGTAAGAAGGAAATGGAGGGAGAAAGACAACTGGGAAGACTCTAGACCCTAAAATATTGCCAAAAAAAGCAAAAATTAATAGACTTTCAAGCTCCTGACTATAATGTAGCATAATTGTTTTTCATGTCTCAGAGAGAGCTCTTCATCAGCTAAATAAGGGAAAACTACATTTAGAATAATCAGTATAAATTCCGCGCTTTGGGAGGCTGAGGCTTAGAATAAGGAAACCTAACACGTGAACATTTACATTTGTAATATAGGTTCATTCTGAGAAGTGTATTTACTTTGCAGAAAATTACCTTCCGTGATCTCTTCAAGCATTCACAATATAGCTTCATTAAACACACATAACTAACTTTTATCATTGGGCCTTCCTGTCTAGGCACAGAATGACCTGAATTCAGTTTAACTATGATCTATTAAGAAACTTGGCGAATCAAGCTCCTGCCCTCCCACAACACCCTTGCTTACCCCAGCCTGTTAGGATTCCCTCTGGCTCCTCAGTGCAGGACTGAAAGAAAAGCTGAGCTGCAAGGGACAGCTGGGGTG